AATGGGGAAGCATAATTGAATCACTGAGCTTTAGAATGGCCATTTATTACAGAAAGCAACATCAGCGACAGTGAGGAAAGTGGCAGCACTGATTGATGTCACTCTCTCCTCAATGATCAATTATTGAAAAGATCACTGAATCCTTCTTTTACTGACGATCTATCACCAAAGCTTCACCACATTTAGGATGTTAGGATGCCTCTGAATTAGTATGATGATCATTCACCTGAAAATATTGTTCCCTCCTATTTTATGATGTTGTGTATTGGCCATATGATTTAGTCAGTAAACTTAGTTGTGTTTGTTTTTCTTTTTTCAGATTGGAACTATGGATCAGGTTGTATACTTTGAATGTTTTTTATTAGATGGTAAATAAATGTTTTTGGCCATGAAAACATCCCTATGTCTGACAAACTCACAAAAACACTGTCGGAAAAAAAAAATGTCAGTTGAAAATAATAAAGTAGAAAAATCTAATTTTTGTTTAATGCAAGTGAGTTCCAGAGAGATATACACTAGTGATGAAACTAGCGGGCATTACAAAAGTACCGTAATCTGTAAAACCATTGCAGATTACAAAAGTGCAATTGCATTGTACAGCTCCAAATTTAATGTAGACCAGTTCTTAGTAAAAGTAAATGTTATAATATGAAATATAAGAATGGAGTAGTGGCCTCAATGCCACAGTTTAATCCTGCTTACAATAAATAAACCTTTTCTTGAGCAGGTTTGAGTATACGGGCATGTTGCTATGACAACACATTCGAGATGAGCTTTAAAGAATGGAACAATCCAAAAATACGTCAACTCTTGAATTTCATCTGAAAGGAAAGTTCTAGGTGGGGAACATTTACATTTCTGACAGTGAAGTCTCACATGCACACCTCCAGGTGGTCTGAATTCTCTCCCAAAGCCACAGAGCATTAATGAATGATATTTTTTTCTGGTTGTGACCAGGGATCCTCAGGCCTGGCCGAAGGTTTTGACTTGGCAGCAGGTAATAGCCTTCCATATTTAAGAGTCCCATAGGCTGTCTAGATAATTATATCAATTTGTGAAGTGGCCTTTTTTGCAAAAAATAAATAAAAAATTAACAACCAATTAAATCTGCTATGGACACATTTGCTTCTCTGTATGAAATATAGATTCTATAACAATGATGATTGTCATGAGTATCAACTGAACTTTGAAATTAGACTATGTCATTGCGACTGTCATTTTTGGCCTGATTGGTATGCATAATTTTGCCCTTGTGTTCCACCTCCAAATTTAGTCTTCATGTTTGCCATCTTGGCAACACCCTGAGGCAGCTATTTTCTAGTCATGCAATTACTACTTTTATCTACTTTGGATCAAAACATCCCAAACTATTTGTCAAAATTATATTTCAATAACTTACATAAAAAAAGCACTATAATTATCATGTATCAATAAAACAATCCCAATTTAAATATTGTTTATTTAGTTCATTTATTTTTCAGGTTTGTCCAGCTAATGTTCTTAACCTTATAGAGCTGTGGTGGCACATTGCCAGATATGTAAATTAGATTGATTTTTTACTAACTGCATCTTATTTATGGTATATTTTTAAGCAGCTTCTCTTGATCTTAAAATATTACTTGAAATGTAGTCTACAACATAACGCAGATGGAACAGTTTACCCAATATAATGAGCCAGCTGCCACAAACTGTGAATAAGCAGAAGTGTCACTGACTGAGCACCCTAAAACTGATGGTACTGCCTGATTGCTGAACCTGTCGACACGGCATCTTAAAAATATGCCATTCATTGCGCAAGACACTGGCAGCCAGTCAATAATAACGAAATTGGCTAAATAGTGAACTAGCAAAATGTGTTGCTGTTCTTAAAAGTGTTATTTGCTGCCAGTGACAAGAATTTTGTATTCTAATCATGGGTCTCAGTCCACAAAAAAATATTGATGAAAGAAAGAAAGAAAGAAAGAAAGAAAGAAAGAAAGAATCAGACAGTGCCTCTATCAAAAAGACAGTTCACTGGTTTAATTGAAAAGATGTACTTCCATTCCTATATATTTCTCCCATTCACTTACGTCCATCTCCTATTTTTGTTGCGTCAGACTGACCCAGTGAGAGTACTGTACAGAGAGGTCATGTCACAATGCCATAGCATGCTAATTATTTATTTATTCATTTATTTGTTCATTGAAGTACAAGCAGTGTTACTTTTTCATCCAAAATTTCTAGGAAACCTTTGATTCATCACTAGAATTCATTAGATGTCTGCACTGTATAATTTTCATGACCAGACTCATTTACATCTAAGAGAAAGGATATTGACAAAAAATATTTAAATGTTTATGTTCCCTCTACTATTACTAATTTCACATTATTTAGCTATTATTATTTTATATTTAATTTTATATTTTTTTCTTTTCTTTTCCCTTTCTTGTTTTTTAAATATATATTCTAATTTTTTAGAAAATCTAGTTTTTAATTCATGAATGAGACTATGGGAAATCTAATGTCAGTTATGATCAAATAAACATATCTATTTTTTTCTGAACAACATTGTAATGTTAATATTAACTTAATGTGTGTAAATATTGTTATTTTCAAAACTATTGGCAGATGAAATAGTGAGACATGTTTTGTTCTGTGTCTCAGGAATTAATTAATTGTTTTATAGTTTGTGATTGCAAATATCAATATTTTATCATGAGGCTGCAAGTGTAAATGTCAACATAAACATACACATTTTTATTGTACAGATCTAGTTTTTTACTAGTTTAATATTTATAGTTGCAGTTATCACACAGCATGCAAAAGCAGTCACAACAACACTGGTGAGCATCTCATCAACCACAACGCTGTTCATTACAGCACTTTTGCTATCCAGTGTGACTTTTGCCTCAGCATCCCTGTGACAACTGTTGCATCTTTGAAAAGATTTTGCCTGACAACCTTTTGGTAACACTTTCTTTCTATGAAGTCCATATTTATAATACATTATAAGAGTATTCTTAAGGCATTATAATGAATGCAGAATGTATTATGAAAAAAACCTTATAATATGCTGTGTCATCTCATGAGAAATCATAACAACACTTTTAAGGCATTATAATAGTTATTTGTAGTTATAGCTTTTACGACTATTATGATGTATAATACACAATGAACACAATGCATCCACTTAACTTACAATGTTCTCTAAAAAGTCTCATATCTTGCCATTGTTAAATTACTTTACTTAAAGCAGACAAAGACCACTTAGAAATAATAACAACAACAATGACAACAACAACAACATTAATAATAATAATAATAATAATAATAATAATAATAATAATAATAATTCTTAAACAGCCATAAGCTCAGATATCTGATCGGATGAATGTGTAATATGGCACATTTGATTTTTAACTATAGTTACTGTAATATCAGTAAGATAGTAAGATGTGAAGATCTTAAATAAATAATGTTAAGATATGAGACTTATAATTCATTATAAATTAAGTGGATTTAACATGGCGTTTATTGCGTGTTATAAATAATCATACTCATAAAAGTTATAACAACAAATAAGTAATTTTTATAATGTATTATAATTGTTGTTATGATTATTTGTGAGATGAAACAACATTGACTTTAAATGTTTTTTTTCTATGAAGGTCCACATAATTATGTCTCAACTTAACTGTACAAAATCCTAACGCGTTGTCTAAACACAACCCATTTATGTTAAGTAAAAAATTCGTACATCCAGAGGGTGGCAGTATAGTGCGACGCCAACTGCCAAGAAACCCCAAAGAAGAAGAAGAGCAAGACGCGTCAGACTACACGTGCGCAATAGGGATGGGCGATACCACTTATTTTGTTTTCCATACGCGTAATAAGAGATATGTTATTTATTTTTGGCCTGCTTTAGTTTTAGAGAGTTCTAGCGTCTTAGACATGCTGAAGTTAGCATGCTAGCTTAGCCACGTGGCGCAGGTTGGTCCGCTGCATATTTCCATTATTTGGGTGAAAAGAAAAATAATAAGAGATAACTTAGTTCATGGATTAAAGTTCTCCGTCGCTACGATGGAGCGAGTCTACGGTGGATTTTTTCCGTCAATTGCAGGGTTCCTGTCTGTCCATAATGGCTTATTCACTTTTCATAATTTGAAGGCTGTAAATAGGATTACATTTCTCAAATAGTGTAATAAATTTCTTAATCTTAATTAGAAAAGACGAGGCGTATTCAGTCTGCTGAGGGGGATGTGATCAAAGCCTGGAGTGGATTGAAAGCACGTTCTTCTCTCTACTCAAGGGTTCTGTTAATCACTCCGCTCGGTATCCACTCCGGGTTTTCCATTCCCGCTCACGGAAAAACTGCTCCGTGTTCACTCCATTTTAAAAGTTATACTAGTATGTTTATTTTTTATATCATGAACGCCTGAACGCAACATTTATAATGCTATATGTAATGTTTTGGAAATTATTCTACACGTTTAATAAATAGAATTACACAATGTCAAAATGTATACCTGAAGTGTGTAACTTCCCTTTCATTTTTCTGACTGTAGCGTTTAAGTTGTTGTAAGTTTTTGACTCTACTAAAGCATAAAAATACAATAATATGTTTGCAGATATATTTAAGAAACGTACTAAGTTAACATTAGTTACTTGTTAATTTGAAAAACAATGCTACAGTCATTCTCCGTTGAAACGGAAATCCATGCGGGCCAGATGTGGGCCGGATCTGGGCCGAAACTATCTGCTGTCTGGGTAAGTTCAACCACTAAATGTCCATCTGACTGAAACTAAAATCTGTCAAAATTAACAGTGGTTAATACTTGGTTTGAAACTTTAGTTTTTTCCAATTTGTTGTGATACTTTAAAATAAAAATTACAACGTGATTATTTTATTGGTTTGCAGTTTTTCAGTTCAGATTAATTCAATTAAACAATCTTTATCAAATTGTTTTGTTTGTTTTTATCCTTTGCAATTTTTCAGGTCCTTAATGAAAGGTGTGTTTTGTGTTCCTGTGACAAGGCTTTACTCACAATAGGTAAGATCTGCAACATCTACTAATGTAAATACTGTTTCTTGCATGACCATTTCATTTGTTAGTTCTGAGTTCTTGCGTGACCATTTCATTTGTTAGTTCTGAGTAGCTTGTTTCTGTTTGTATTCTGTTTACTTTTAATTATCAGTAGCAATTGATCAGAGACAAACCCATGATTGCAGAGTTCAAGACCAGATGGCCAGGACTGTTCACTGTGCCTGAGGTATAAACTGCTTCTTAAAACATCCATAATCAATGTTATATGATGCATCAAATGACAGTGTGAAAGAATTATAGAATACTGTAGCATATGGTCTTTTTACTACAATTTTAGTATACACCAATAACAGGTTGTTTGTGGACATTATTTAAAGGTGGAAGCAGTATTTCTGAGGATTACCACTGTTCCCCTCGTCACAACATTTTTTTGCGCAACTTGACCACCACGCTGATCAGCTCATCAGAGTGCTGAAGAAGACAGGTGGATCTAAAGGAAAGAAAATTAACCTCACCTTTGCCGCGACTGCACAGGTATAGTTTACTTCTTTGTAGAACACATTTAGGAATAAGTAAATTTTGTCTAGTCTGTGTTGCCATTTGTCAGAAACCAATAACATCTGCAAATGCACCCCATATGAATATAAAATTTATTTGATTGTATTTCACAAAGCGTCTGAGATTAACAGCAATTTTTTTTCCCTTTAAACAATTTGCGATTTCGTATTTACACACTATGGATAAATAACCAGAATTTTGAGGAAACTGATGTACTGACGTTCAAAAGGACCAATCAAAGTTACAAGCAACAGAAAGAACAGAACTACTCTTATTGCATAGTACCACCAACACACTGATCATTCACTCTGCAGTTTCCCAAAAAGCTTCCATTTTCACTCTTTTTCTCTACTTGAGAGTAGGCCTGTTGCGATGGTCAATATCGACTTATCGCACAATATATGTAAATGAGCGCGATCATTTTTGGTGCTGCGATATTGCCACTGATAATTTTCTATAATCATAAATAGATTATTCTAAATTTTACATAATGAATGCCATTGTGCTGCCTCTGTCACCTCTGCTCTCTGTGGCGGAGGTGGGGGCAGGGCTCAGGTGCGGCTCCACACACACACACAGAGCGGAAAGTGTTAGGTAATGCAAGCCGCAAGCTTTAGCTCCAATATGGGAACATTTTGAATCGCGAACTTCTCGCAGGGCTCCATTTCCAGTCCCGCGCGAGAACTGATCTCACGTGTGATCCTGCATTATTTCCTTATCACTTCTCGCGTGCGTTTGGTTATGAAAAATAGTTTGCGGACCAGACAGAGTTGTCTGCGATACTTTCTACTGTGAAGTCATGCAGTGTCTGAGCTCCTGTCGCCGATCATCATGCAGTATGAACACAGCAGACATACAGGTGCCTCATCAGTGTGAAATGGCGCACACTCACGGTTAGCGTAACTTGCTATATAGCCAAAGAAATTATTATATGTGGTCAAGCTCAAATATGACTAAACACTAAATAACTGCTGAGCATTAATGTTACTTTTTGTCCTAGTTCTTGTTACAGTGCACTTTTTTGTTAACAAAGGTGTTTATTTATTTTTATTTATTATAGGATAAGATATATTTGTTCACATTTCTCATTCCAGTATCTAAATATTCTTAAGAATAAAATGTTATTTGTTCTTTGAAAGAGTGTACTTGCATTATGCTATTTTATCATTATACTGTCATTATGAAATCAGTGACATAAAATGGTCTTGAAATGGCAATAATTTCATTTATCGCAATTCGTTTTGGTGCAATATATCGCACAACAAAAAGTAGTTATCGTGACAGCCCTACTTGAGTGTACTCTGTAATTGACTAATTGCATAATCATTGATAATGTTTGTATAAGTAAATGGTCATTGTACATGTGCTTACTTTTATGATTAAAGTTTCACCCATTTCACATAATTATAGAAGTGTAATAGGTTTGTAGTATGTATGTTGATGCTGCTTTTTTTCTATTTAGAATGAAACTGTTGAAAAGAAGAGGGAGTGCCTCCTCAGGGCACTTTGTATCTATCTAAATGGAGATCCGAAGATCTCTTCAAAGAGTATCTGGTAGGTAATACTACCTGGCTTGTAGTAATGGCAATTTTGGTCTATACCAAAATCACATTTCTGATAATTTAATCTTAAAAATTGAAAAATTATAATCTTATAAAAGTAGAACTTATGGCAGAGCTGCTATATTAGATGGTATCAGATCATACAGGTGTACGTAATAAAGTGGCCAGTGAGTGTACAAATTGTGAGGAATCAGTTTGGACCAAAAGTTAGTAATCAAGCACTATTTTAAAACATTTACGGAGAAAACTGCAATGCAAATGAGCTCTTTGGAATTATGTAATTGGCTGGTGATTTCATTGTTGTCCTTTTTTGTGTGTGGAAAGGATTCAGATGGCTGTGCTGCCCAGAGGGACCTTGAACAAGTTGTCTTTGGCATCTACAGCATTAATGCTGAGGGAGGTGATGCCACCACCACTCCAGTTGATGTTGGAATAGTGATTGAGGGTGTTGAAGTGCTTCACGACTTGGGAGTTTATATACCTTTTTTCTTTGTGTGACACGCACCACTGTTCTGGGTGACATGTTTTGTCATGTAAAGCATATACAGATGCTTAAAAACAAACTGTATGAGTGAACCAACATTGAGCACTTAAAAGTTTGTGGCGTTTGACATAAAGGCCTGCTTTGCACTTGAAACCATTTAATTCACACTTGAAAGATTATATCTTTTTTCTTTTTTTGTGACACGCACCACTGTTCTGGGTGACATGCATGTAAAGCATGTCCAGAGTTGTAGTTTTTTTAAAGGTAAAGATAACCAACTTTAAATGCTGCCACTCATGGGTATGTTTAACTGTTTTTTTCTCTTTTGTAAAACAGAATTTGATAAACAGTTGTGTTGGTGAAATAAAGGAACTAACAAATGTTGAGTTGAGTTTACTGAAGTAATTTTTGTGGAACCTGTTGACAAACTAAAGTTAATTCAACCTAACTAGTAAAAATTAAAGTTAGTGAAAGCATTTTATTTTGATTAATTAAGCTTGAATTGAATGTTTTGTTGTAAAATCATTAGTTTACTTTGAATAGACAAATATGTAATATGCAACTTCTAAACAAATTTTGTTAGTCCATATAACATAACTGACTTTAGTTAGTTAAACTCAAACGTCTCTTGTTGAGCAAAAATTAGTGATAATAGTTGGCTTGAGTCAAAAAAATTATTTCTCCCTAAAACAACCCCATTAAGTTAGATAACCTTGAAATATTTGTTTTCAACTTTCATAATTAAATTTTGTGGAACCTGTTGACAAGAAAAAATTAATTAAAGTCAAGGTTTCATTTTTTTTGAGTGTACATTTATACATAATAATATTATTCTATATATATTCTGTGTGGGCCTAGTTATCGGATAATGCTAATGTAATCTGGTGTTGCTCTCCAAACTGATGGAAAAACACTTGAGCCACTAGCTCATCTCTAGCAGTGTGCTGCCAAGTTTAAAGACTCACCTCACACTCTTAAAAATAAAGATTCCAAAAGAGAGTTTTCTCAGCGACGTCATAGAAGAACCATTTTTGGTTCCCCAAAGAACCTTTCAGTAAACAGTTCTTTAAAGAAACTAAAACCATTTTTGCAATGGGCATCTACAGCATTAATGCTGAGGGAGGTGATGCCACTACCACTCCAGTTGATGTTGGAATATTGATTGAGGGTGTTGAAGTGCTTCACGACTTGGGAGACATCGCTTCTGCATGTGCACTCTTAATGGGTGTCATATATGCAATGAACCTCCGTTATCCTCAGGAACTGAAAACGTTCTTTGAGGTGCTTCAGAAAATCTTTCTCCAGCTGGATGCTACCAGACTCTCAACCAAGGTACAGATGCGTAAAAACAAACTATGAGTGAACCAACATTGAGCGTGTGGCGTTTAACATGAAGGCCTGCTTTGCACTTGAAACCATTTAATTGAAAAACACTTGAAAGTTTATATACCTTTTTTTTTTTCTTTTTTTTTTGTGTGACACGCACCACTGTTCTGGGTGACATGTTTCTTTGTCATGTAAAGCGTGTACAGATGCTTAAAAACAAACTGTATGAGTGAACCAACATTGAGCACTTAAAAGTTTGTGGTGTTTGACATAAAGGCTTGCTTTGCACTTGAAACCATTTAATTCACACTTGAAGGATTATATCTTTTTTCTTTTTTTGTGACACGCACCACTGTTCTGGGTGACATGTTTCTTTGTCATGTAAAGCATGTACAGATGCTTAAAAACAAACTGTATGAGTGAACCAACATTGAGCACTTAAAAGTTTGTGGCATTTAACATAAAGGCCTGCTTTGCACTTGAAACCATTTAATTGAAAAACACTTGAAAGATTATATGCCGCTAATAACTTTTGAACCGAAAAGCCTCTGAATGGGCACCAAAATTCAAAAATCGTAAGGTTTAGTTTTTTCGTTATTTTTAATTGTTCGTAAAACCTACTTTTTCGAACTCGTCCTAGACGGTTTGTCTGATTTTCACCAAAATTGGGACGGATCATCTTCAGACCATGCTGGCAAAAAGTTATGGAATTCAAGTTGATTCGTCCAACCGTTCTCAAATAACACGCAAACAAATTCTACGAAAAGCACGCAAAAATGGATCTGAGGCTATATCTCCGCAACGGTTTGGTGTATTGAGACCAAACTTGGTGTGTGTTATAATAAGCATGACCTGAAACTACCTGCAGTGTTTCGGCGCTGTGCCACCTAGTGGTCAGGAGATATAAAAAATGCATATTTTTACTTCTAACTTCTGACTGGTTTGGCCAAAAATCTCAGGTCAGCCATTTTGGGTGTCGGCCATTTTGAATTTTGTAGTAAAATGCTATATTTTACGAATGCATTGACGTATCGTTACGAAACTTCGTATGGGTCATCAGCACGATGCCCTGAAGGAGTCTTGAGAAGTTTCGAGCCAGCGCCACCTAGTGGTAAAATCAAATATTCACATGCTTATAACTTTGGGTGTGGTCGACTTATTTTCACGGGATTCACCTTTTTAGACTTCTGAATCCTTGTCGAGTCCAGCGATACCAAATATGCCAGGTTTTGCCTTATGGTTTGTGCAACATTGCATTTTAGCGCTTAAAAAACATTTGCCAATATCTTAGAAACCGTTACTCCGATCGACACGAAACCACCGTAGGAAATTCGAAAACATAGCGTGCC